ATACAGCACTCTGTGAACAGCCAGCTTCTTTGGCAATGAATGTTTGTGGCTTACCCTCCTTGTGAAGGGTGTTGATGATTGTCTTCTGGACAACTGTCAGATCAGCAGTCTTCCCCCTGATTGTGTAGCCTAGTGAACCAAACTGAGTGACCATTTTGAAGGCTCAGGACACCTTTGCAGGTGTTTTGAGTTGACTAGCTGAGTGGCATGTCACCATATTCTAATTTATTGAGATAGTGATTTGGTGGGTTTTTGTTAAATGTGGGCCAAAACCATCACAATTAAAAGACCCAACGGCTTAAACTACTTCAGTCTGTGTATTGGATTTATATAATACACAAGTTTCACTATTTGAGTTGAATTACTGAAATAAATGGACTTTTCCACAATATTTTAATTTATTGAGATGCACCTGTAGGAGGTTATCAACACTGCTCATACTTTTCCAAGATAACATGCAGCATTAAGGCACAAAGAGAAAACCCCAAATATACCATGATCCCAGTTAAGTAGGTTACAGAAGATGGTGCGATACAAGTCACACAGCACACAGATACAGACGCTCCCCATCCTCACTTCTACAAAGTTCATTCCTTTTAAGTGCCTTCTGCCTTTAAAGTAATCCAGTTTTTTCATGCTCTGTCCTACGTGTACATCTCTACAGTCTGGTGCACGGACTTTACATCCCCTTACAATGAAATGGCAAAAAGAGTAAAACAAAGAATTGTTTTCTCAAATAATAATAATAATATAATATTTAATGTGCATTTAGCCAGTACAACTTCATCATCAGAAGTAACAAAAATGTTTAAAAAGAAAATTATAGTAAAATAATGGAAATCATATCAGTGCAAAGGTTTCTATCCCCTTTTATGACATTTCTAATACTTTGTCTGTCCACCCTAACCTCTTCCAACCTCTCTGGGTACCCCCCGAGCAGCATTTGTATCCTTTCAGGTGTAACTTTAGCCCAGTCTTCTTGGTCTACGTGTTCCAAATCTACCAGACTGCTTGGTTGTCTGATGTGATTTCCATTTTTTTACTATAACTTTCTTTTTAAAGACTCCCTGACCATTTTTGTTACTTCTGGTGATGAAGGAACGGTCGTACTGGCTGAAGGTGCATTAAATATTATGTTGATGAGAAAACAATTCTTTGTTTTACTCTTTTTGCCATTTCAGAATAAGGGGATGCAAACTTTTGCACCCGACTGTGCAGTACTGTCAGAGGCTTTGTGTTTCGCTTTGTCTCAACCACGAGCACGGCATTTGAGAGGAATGATGCCACCGCAAACTTCCACCTCCCTTCTTTGCATATCTGCTAATTTGTAAATAGCTTTTTTTTCATAGATTTGAAGGTGTAAACATTGAAGCAGACATACAACTATATTAGTGCCTAAATATAGTGGGGCATATTTTTGGTAAAGACACATAGCACTATAAGGAAAAAAAGATGGATGCCCAAAGCAGGGACATTTATATGGGCTCTGGTTTATAACAGGTTTAAAAAGACATATTACATTATTACATTGCATTCATTTGGTAGACATCTTGTCCAAAGGGATGAACAATAAGTGCATTTAAACCTCTTTCAAAAATAAACATTCTGTTCAGACTCAGCTGTAATTTTGTAAGTCTGACAAGCATTTTATAAACCAGAGCTCATGCACATCGTCAGCCACAAACAGCAAACAGGAACTAATGTTCACCAGCTCCATGTAGGCCTACACTGCCCTATCATGGGGCTGGGTGTTGTAAGGCAGCCGTGACAGTGATTATATTTACACCACACTGAGACATGGTTTTCAAAGTGTTCTGTATCACGGGGCAAGCTAAGCCAAGCTAACGTCCCACTGTCTTTCAGCTCAAGAATGGCAGTGCTTCAGTGATCCAGCACTGTTCAACTAGGTGCTGACTGAGAACTGGTACATCATGTAAGAAAACCAGACTCACATACAGTAGAATGTCCATGTAGGCCCCACTGGGGTTGTTTGTGTTCATCTTAGAGCCACTTGATTTGTAATTAATAAACTCACTTCTAACCAGATTAGTTTGTGTGTGATTTGTTGCTGGTGTACAAGTATGTGTGCGACTGAACAGAGGATTCTGTATCTGCTGCTTGTGTCATTTCGTCATCTCTCTGCTTCTTCCAATCTTCCTCAAACACTACAGTAGTGTCTCCCGCTTTTCACAGAAATCCTGTTCAGTGTGAAGGTCCATCAAATATCACTGACAACAACTCTGTTGATCTAAAGCCGTAATCTATTACTGGGAGTTAAGCCATTTCCATTTCCTGCACTGAGAACGGCTCGCTTGTTCCTTTCTGATAACGGTGCCAACTGGCAGCAAGTTCCTGGATAAAGACCATTATAATCAATGAGCTCAGCAGAAATAATATAAAGCTGTTTGCAGCAGAGCCAATTGACACTTTTATTCAAGTCAGAAAAATCAGTTCATGTTTGTGTTGTCTATTTGATTTAACATGGGATGAGAAAAAAAACACTTTTTTAAAGGGTTTAGGACTGTGGACCTCATTTAATGAGAAATGAAGGGCGTTTTCAAACATTTACGTTTTTAGTGGTTGAACAGAAGGCTGACACAGAGTTTTGGAGGCTGATTCATTAAAGCTGCACAGTCTTAGTCGGAAAGTTATGCAATACAGTATGTATCCAAAGTTACGAGGTGTTGTGAGTGAACAGTCATATCTGTGGTTAGTTGTGTTGAAACCTACTGCCAGTAATGTCCTCTCTCCCTGCATCATCTTACTGCCATACAGTGGGACTATTCTGTTCAGTAAATTCTATAAATGTTTCTCTATTGATGAATTTGTTTCTTTTTATGCTGGTAATGTGTACTCTGTTCACAACTGTAAATGATTTGATCAGCTTTCTACAAAACATCTTTGTCTCAGTGACCGCTACGGTAACACACAGTAACAGTAAAGGCAAACTGAGGCAGAATGAGCCAAATGCTAAGGATCTGTGGCTCACACTGCACATCGTACCTGTATTTTTATTTATTTTATTCAGCTGTTTTTTACCAGGATAAAATCACATTGAGGTTAACAGTCTTATTTTAATGGGAGCTTTATGAAGTATATGGAAGCACAAACAGGTTAGTGCTGCATTAATTAAAATCTTATTCGTACCACTCAGTTAATATCATTCAAAACATTTTATTTCAAAACCATGAATTTATGTGGGTTGAGTTTGCTTTTTTTAAAATTTGGGTACACTTTCACATAATGTGCTTTTTAGAAAATTAAAGTGATAAATCACGATGGACATTTTACTGTGAGAGTTTGGTTTCAATTCATCCACAAAAATTGTTGCTAGTTTCTCTGATGATGCAGGTTTTTAAAAATATTTGCTGCTAATTTGATCCGTTTCATACCCAGTGTGTTCTAGAAACCTAAAATGTCACTTACATTTTATTAGTCTTTGAAAACCGGCTGATCTTTTTTAGGACTAGCAGGGTGACCTTTTGAGTGGTAGAGAAACTCAGCTCCACAGTAACACTGGCTGATTTATCGGTCTAATCTTAATATCATCAAACATTATCAATATGCAGTATTTCAGTTTTTCTGTCAATCTTTGACTGCAGTGCAGACCGAGCAGAGAGCTGCGAGCAGAAGTGTGGGCAGAGCAGACGCCTCAGTGGGGAGGAAAACAGATGGGAGAAAATCTGATTTGACATAAGGATGTAGCCTGTTTAGGAAATATCACAGCATGATGTGATGAACTGACACATTGATCTGATATTTGTCTATCTGAGGAGCTACCGCTCTCGGCCCTTTATAAATGATTGGTTTCAGCTAGAGGGGCTCTGCTTGTTCAGAGTCAGAAGTCATTTGTCCAAATATGAGAAAGAGTTGAAGAATCATGTGAAGCTTTCAGTCGTCCCAGCCTGCCTGAGGGGAGTCATTCAAATGATTTCTAGCTTGATCATAAAACTGTTAACAAAGGAGAATGATTACAATCTCTTTTCATAGGTCACCAGAACTAATTATGCAGTTAAGAAAATCTCTTCCCAGAAGAGACTCGTAATGGGC